ACCCACCAGTAAATTTGTGGTACAAAAACTGGAATAATAGTTGAGAGTTTTCGACAGACTATTCCAATGTTAGCAAAACCATATGGTAATAACTTAGATGTTAAAAAGATTGAATGTGCCAACCACATACTACGAAATTATTTAAATAAATTATTAGATATAGCGACTGAACGGAAAAGTTCAAGTGGTAGTGTTATACCAGGATTACTAAGAAATAACTTAAAAGAAAAGCGATTAAAACTTACTGAGGTAATCACTTCATTCACTTTTTAGTTAATTTGTTACTCTAAAAAATGTCTATTATCTACTATTTATTCAATATTTGTTGCTAGATCTGCTGTAATAAACGCTATTAGGGGAGGGGAGCCGGATATACTTTGGCTCCCCTATTTTTTTCTGTGTCTTATGGGCCTGGATTAAAATTTCTATCTGAATTTACTTCTGCAAAATCGTTGCTTCAACAAAAAAAAATTGTTCGACCAGATTTAAATTAAATTATTGATATACTCAAAAAGCTATCAGCAGAATTTTCAGAAACATTGAAGATACTTCAAATTATAAACACTCTTCCAGTGAATACTGCATCAAATGAAAGATTTTTTTCTTCACTCAAAACAGTGAAATCTTACTAAGAACTTCAATGGATGAAGAGTGTTTGAGTGACTTATTGGTCATAGCGGTAGAAAAAGAAGATGCTAACAAAATAAATTTAGATGAAGCAGTAGATGGATTTTCGGTATTAAAATGTAGAAGGCTAGAATAGCATAATTAATTTAAAAAACTAATGAACACTATAAGTCTGTAACTGAATGTATGAAATATTGTATTATTATTAAAATATTTATTATAATAAGTAAATAAATATAATGTATTCATTTTATTTGGAATCAATTACATTAATTAAATGTAGATATATATACCTGTACCAAAAGGAAAACAAATTATTAGTGAATAATTTGAATTCATTAAAATATACCCTTCAAGAGCTTAACCCCATACAATCAACGTACACGCAATAAAAGATATTAAACAATATCTGAATTAAATAATTTTAAAAAAGTGGCCCGACAGAAAAAAATTGGCCTGCTTAAATTTTGGCACCCCTATTATAAAACTCAAATGGTGTACCTGGTTAGAACTTTTAGAACTAAATACAGAGAACCAATCAAAAAGCGATGAATGGCGACGAGAACGAAAAATAAGACTCGCGGCTTTTAATTTTGGTAGTCGCAAAACTCAGAGACACAACTTCTCGTGCAAATACTATAAAATATATTCTTTGTGAGTGTTTCGTGGAAATTCAGCAACAAGGTATGTTGAATGTTAAATTGTTACCTCTTAAAAATTAATTTTTGTAATGAATAATGATGACTTGTTAATTTTATTTCATTTCATTTACGTGTGGAATTCAAAATAAACCGTTAGTCAAAGAATGTTTGGAACTGAAACTAAGAGTAAAGTGTTGCATCATGTGGAAAGTTTGGCAGGGCGCACACCAAAGCAGTGCGGTTGCAGTGCGGCGGTCTAGAAGCGCGCGGACTGGCACTGCATCCGCGCCGCAAAAGCGCGCCAAAACACACCAAAGATGTGCGGTGGATGTGCGGCGTTATCATTAATCGATTTTAATTTAAATATATGAGAATTTTTATATTACTTTCTAATTAGGTACTTTGATTTATAAGTTTGTAACTATGTCAAGTTCCGATGAAGAGATGTTAATGCATTTAATAGTAAACAACATGAAAAAAAATATAAAAAAACGAAAATATTGGGTTCATCCATTCATTAAAAATAATGCTAATACACTTGGTACATTTTCGGTTACAAAAGAACTAGCAATGTATCCTGAAAAATTTAAAAATTTTTACCGTATGTCGCAGAATCTTTCAATGTACTTTCAGACATGGCTCGGACCAAATTACAAAAAAAAGACACAAATCTCCGTTTGTCCATATCTGTTGAAGAGCGACTGTTGATTATACTTAGGTAAGCAGTGGTTCAATTGAGGGGGGACGAAGGAGGACTGAGTACCCCTTCTTATTTACGGTTAGATTATGCGTCCCCTTTAATTTAAGTCTYCAAAGTCTGGGGGGACGCTAAAAAAATAAATTTATTGTGAATTTAATAATATGTTCCATGTTAATTTTAATAATTTATTAAATTATTTATGCAGCCACACACATTGATTAGATTTCGAATTTAAACGTATTTTA